CCTATAAATTATAAACCACTTATACAAAGAGCAGTGTGTTATTTATGGTGAAATATATAACTATGTTGTCAGTATTAATCGACGGTCAAAGGAGTTAGAACATTTGTATAAATAAACAGTGTTTAACTATTTTTTTATGGCAATACAGTAACTTGACCTTGACGTCATCATCGCATAAAAATCGAATCAAACGATATCAAATTTGAGTTTCAGTAAAGGACATACACATAGCCAGTAAGTCTGAAAGAAGTAAATGCGTGTGAAACTATAAATAACATTAGACTTGCTCTAACTATTCGTTGAATCAATAAAGAAGTTATTTCTGGTATAATTGCGGCTACTGAGGCTAATATAGAATGTAACATCGGTACGTGACGGGAATCGTTTCGATTCGAAATGAACTTGTTCCCGCGAAACGTTCAGGGAAATACTAGCGGGTAGTACAAAAATAGACACTTGTGGTTTAGATGATCCTACAATTGGGTTGTGGGTTTTCATTGTCGCAATTTGTTTAATAATATCTTATTATGCTCTATTTCGTAGACTAGCTGTTGCTGGCGACTTCGTCTGCGTGAAATTAAAAAAATACAGGATTTTCCACAACAGCCACTGAGATAAAAATATTTTCTCTTTATAACATTATAGTAACTGACTCAGGCGTATATGAAATCAACAGATAACATAAAATATGTTCTATTACCAATTCTATTACTGTTAAAAAAATCTAACATAAATTTTAATAACGGCTGAATAATAACACGAATCTTAAACACTTCGTTTTTTAATCGCCATGGAATCTGACAGATATAAAAGTTATGCTCACATCTGTTACCTATTTCAATGTCGTTTCAGTATTCGGTCTTTATGTATTTAAGTAAAGTTAATGTACAGTTCAATACATGTTCTCCCCACGCTTAATATAAATATAAAGTAAATTAAGAAAAGAGAAACAATTTGAAAGTAGTTGAAGTTAGAAAACTTTATAAACAGTTAATGGAAAGTGGGATCAAAGGGTTAACTTTTTTCCAATAAATCTGTCCATTGAACCGAGAAAAAACTTTCTTAAATCAATTCTAAAATAAAATGGCTTAAAATATAATATTATCTTCATCTATACTTCTATTTTTCTATGTCTATACTAATATTATAAAGAGGAATGATTTGTATTTTTGTATATATGTTTGTATTGACATAACTCAAAAACTACTGGGCCGATTTTAAAATATTCTTTCACTTTTAGAAAGGTAATTTATCTATAAGTAACATAGTTACATTTAATAAATTAATAAATACTCGTTATTTTTTACATTCGCACGGACTAAGTCACTAACAAAAGCTAGTCGAAAAATATTTGGATACGACTGATTTCGTATTTTGTTTATTTTATAACATAAGGTGGCAAACGAGCAAGCGGCCATCTGAAACCCCCAAAATGGCGAAGCGATCACTGCCTATAGACATCCGCAAATGCAGATGCGTTGCCTACCCTTATACGACGGAGGAAGAGACGCACATAAAGAGGATATTTCCCCTTCCTATGCATCTCCTCCACCGTCAAATCCACTATCCGTATTGTACAGTTATTGTTATACTAGTATAACCATAATTAATGGAAGGTCGTTTCCAAGTTTCATCAATACGCAATCAAAGACAACCACAAAAGGCTTCCTAGCTGAACGTATTTGATTGATTGTATCTATTATATGAAGGGCTTGTGTGGGAACCGTAATTATTTAGAGCAAATGTAATACAAAATATAATAATATAATACTAGCTTTTGCTTGCGACTGCGTCCGCGTAGAATAAAAAAATAAGAAAAAACAAATAGCCTATGTGTTCTTTCAAACTACTCTCTATATCTGTACCTAATTTCGTAGAGATCCGTTCAGCAGTTTAGGCTTCCACTCTAACAAACATCCATCCATCTAAACTTTCGCATTTATAATATCAGTAAGATAATATAAACGTATAATATAGTATTTTAGTACACCTTTTGTAATGTTTGTGCATTATGTGTTAAATAAATAAAATCGGGCACCATGGAAACCCACCTTAACACTGTTTGGGTGTTAAAAAACTGAAATATATTATTGTATTTAATACGTTGTGTGTGTTGTGTGTGTATCCAAACATCTGTACACTTATTATCTCTGTTTATTTTTTTGAGTGGAATGAGAGTGATGACGATAATTTTAGAACATGGAAATCAACTGTTACTTACAGTAAACAAAATTATTGAACGTTTCGGTTTTACAATTGAATCAACCTTGAGTATAAAATCACATAAACAAATATAAGAAAAGAATTTAGGGCAACATAAAACACATCAAAATATAAGAAATTTATGACACAGATTTAACGAATTGCGTGTTTACAAGCAATGGGCGATAAATGATTCTGTACGGTCAGTTTTCTTCAGTAAATATTATTGCTTCTTTTTATAAATTTAATAAAAATCCACAAATAAAGTTTTGTGTATTAATTGTGGAGATTACTGACAGCCGAATACTAAAACAGTATTTAAATATGTGTTCAATAGTGGTAGGGGCCTCTTTAACATCTCACGAATGG